CGAATTGAATTGGAAGATACAGATTCAGAGAATTCCTCCTCAGAGAAGAAATTAAAAACATGATAAATACAAAGGGAAAACGAAAAGCTACAAAAAAAAAAAAAAAAAAAAAAAAAAAAAAAAAAAAAAAAAAAAAAAAAAAAAAAAAAAAATTCTGTTTAGTGAATACAGAGGAAAGGAAACAAAGTATTAAAGGCACATGAAACCAGGGCCTGAAATTTTGTGTCTGATGCTGCTCCCTTCTATCCAACATTCAACAACGGGTCTGAATGTCTAGCTGGCCGTTGGCTTGTGCTGTGTTAAGAAAGGGAAAAAAAAACACCCCAAGTGATTCCTTTCTAGTGAGGCGTGAGCGTAGTGTGCCGTGCAAGGCTCTGTGGAAGTAATTCTTTGTTGAGACGTTCAACTTGTTCTTGTGTACGCACACTGGCACGTGTGCGCTCATTGTCTCATAAGACCTTTCTTTCAGTTCTTCATCAGAAAGGACTTTGTGAATTTGTACTTTTTGCCATCTCACCCTGTTTACATGCCATAGGTGTTCTGGTCTGGATGATGGGTGCCTGTTAAATCAGGTTGTGCTGCCAGTGAGTTGTAGATTTATGCTGGAAGAATGGAGAATGAAAACAGGCCTTCAGCCCATTGGCTGCACTGGAGAGGAAAGCATGGTTCCTTTCTTAAAGAAATCTTCCATGTTTTCTCTAAGTAACACTTCTTTATTGAGCATTTAATGTGGACATACTATAAAAAAGGAGAAATTTTAATGCTAATGAGAGGTTTAGCACTTCAGATTCAAGAGAATATAGATTCCTGATAAATTTCACTGTTTGCAAATTGAGCAGTGCTGCAACATGTACTGTATGAAGGCCATAAAATAGAGCTAGTCATGGATAACAGACTTTAACCAGTTAGGTGCTAGATCCTAAGAGGCACTCACAAGGCCAGCAGGTGCTTCCTTGGCTCCCGTGATGGATCGAGGCATAGTGAAAGAAGGGCAAAGACAGCTTTCCAGAGCTTTGTGCTCAGACTACTAAAGTAGTTGTTATAGGTGTGTTAATGAAGAAGCTTAGTGAGGAGCAGAATGTGGTACTATATTCATTTAACTCAACCCAGGACTATTGGTCAGAAGTGATGGGACTGGCATCTTCCCTCAGACTTGCAGTTGATAGAGGCTGTGGTGTTCTCACTAGACTTTGCAGAGCAGTAGGCGTCTCAAGGTAACAGATTCTTATTGAGTAGGTCTATTAAGAGTCAGAGGGTGAGGGAGAGGAGTCTCCGGCTTATGACTGCTGATTCCCATGAGTCTTAAGTCTTCTGGTTCCCATAAAAGACTCAGTTTTATTGAGGTAGATACAGGTTTAGAAGAGAAAAGAGCAACAGATTTTCAGCGTTGCAGTCACTCGGTTATCTGTGAAGGGTTGTGCAAAACAGGAAGGTCTAGGAATGACTAGATATCTTGTTGGCATAAATGTTATGAAAAGGCAGAATACTGGCAAGAAATGAGGAAGAGAGAGAAAAACAATATAACTTTCTTGAGTGCAAAGGTGCTAGACAATTAGGAGCCCAGCTGGGACTGGTGCAGGGAGGGCCGAACGCTGACTAGTGTGGCCTCACTGCCCCAGCCTTCCTTTTAGAGGAAGGCCTGTCCTGCTGGAACTGGGGCCAAGGGGAGGCTGCCTATGAAGGCAGAAGACGTGGATGAATTCAGGCACTGGGGGTGGGGGGGTTATTTATAAACACAAGGTGATTGATTTAAGCCAAAAGGAGATACCATCCTGATAAGCTCTGTGAAAGAGAAGATGTGCCTGGTGTGTGTGATGCGGCTGGGGTATGAAAACACTGAGAAGGAGATGAAGGAGTGTGCATAGCATGGGGGTGTGTACAACTTAACACCTGGACTTTTACTGGGGGAGTGGGAAAGTGATTCTGTAACCAACATTAGAATTGCTTTGGATTTGTAATCAAATTGGTTCTATGATTTGTCTTTGACTATTCACAGATAATTGTAAATGCTGGTTTTATAAGCCCAAGTCATTTTACATTTGCTTTTCCAAAATGTATTAAATTTGAATTTTTTAATCCTTTATATACAAAAAAAAATATATGATCACTCAGTGTGTGTTTCTCTTCCCCTTCTTAGTCAGCACACCCAGTCCTTCATTTTATTCTATTCTATTTTATTTTCATCAGCACATAGCCTCTTCTGACTTCTCAAAGGACAATCCACAAATCTTCCTGAAGAGAAGTAGTTAAAGTTCCCTTAGGAACTAACTGCTTGGTAGTTACAATTCCCAAATGCAGAATTTGGTCTTTTCATGTTAAAAGCCTTAATCTCATTTGGGTACTCAAAAGAGAAGTCAGAGTTTATTCTGGTTAACTTGAGAAGCCAAGAAAGATCATTTTTAGTAAGTATGCCTTCCATCCTTGGCAAAGGCTTCCCAGCATCCTAGGCTCAGCTCACCGGGTGATAGGCCCCATAAAACACACACGAGCAGGGTGAGAAATGCTTGCTTTATAGCTGCTCCACCCTCATCTCCAGAGATTTTTGTGTCTGCGGTTGTGGGTCTGGATACCTGGCAGGAACCACTTTTAGAGTACCTTTGCCTAAACTCTTTTAGAATTGAGGCCCCAACTTTGACGGCGCATTTAATACCCAATTTCTTCCATAATCGATATTTTTAATAGCAGAACAGATGGCACTGATTAGATCAAGAACTATTTGGAAGTGCCTCTTAAGTTTTTTTCCTGCATCCTGTACATAAAGTTTTAAGTGGCAGGTCCAGATATGTAAAATCATTTCTCTCTATTTTCCAGCTGGTTGTGTTCGTGATTCTCTAGGACAGCAGGTAAATGAGTTAAATAAGTTGTTGGCTTGGGGCAAGTGAAGTTTGTGACTATGCTTGATTTAATAAGCTGAGAGTCTCTTGTTTGTCTGTCAAGGTGCCTTCCTCTGCTGAAGCCTTACCTCCTTCTCACCCAGCAACAGTTAACTCTTCTCTTGTGTATATGCAAATAAACCTATTATTCACTTCTCACGTCTTCCTCTTCTCTTCCAGGGAAGACTTGGTTGCTTAGACACCTCTCCTTTATTTCTTTTCTGTTTTAATTCTTACCTAGTTGGAAACTTGATTGAAAGCTATGCTGAAAACTAGAAGGAAAACTGCAGTGTTCCACATCCATGACAATGGTCATTGTCACTTTTAGGTATTGGGACAAAGGTCACATCTGGACAACAAAATGCAGGGTAGGAGGAGGTATTTATTTGGTCTCCTTTACTGTGTTTAAAGGGACGTAAGATAGCGAGACCCTGGAATTGATAATTTTATTAGTTGGAACAGAGGGAACAATGCAGTGAAGTGACATTACAAACGGCTTCCAGAGAAATATTTTCTGATGTTTCCAAATACCAAATTGCATTTCCTGCCTTGCCCCAGGCATGCACTGCAAACTTTTTCAAAAAAAAAAAAAAACGAAGCTCATATCTCCTGTCTGTAAAGCTGCCTGCTACAGTTAACTGAAAAATTCTTGTCAACCAAGGCTTGTCAGGAAAACATGCTTCCAAAGGAAGACTGTCCTTCCCCCATGACCTAAGCAAGACAGCATGCCACGATTGAAACACTAAGGTGAAGTAAGGCTCAGTGAGTCCCAGCCTTGCAGCAGCAGGATAGTGGTTTTGAACAAACTGTGTGGTTCTCAGGTGGGATATTCGGATCTGAGTGCTCATTTGTCCTTGAGCACTCATACTGGAATGAAATTACATGAATTCAAATAGTTAAAAGTAATTTTGAATTTCTTAATGATGCTTCTCACATGCAATAGTGCACGTGGATCGAAAACCTATCTGAATCCTAACTGCATTTCATTGTTAGAACAATGGTGGTAAGATGCTTCTCAGAATGGAGGCTTAGAGGCAAAACTTAAACTTCCCTGTGCCCTGCACTAACATGGCCCAGATAAGCAAGAGCAGTTACTCTGTTCAGTTCACAACAGGATTTACTCGAATGTGCAGAGGATCTAGCGGTGCTTATCTGCAAGACAGTTATGTTGTAAGAAAATAGGATATCTAATGTTTCAAAGTACTGAAGTTGGGAAATGACTCCTTTGGGCTTATGGAGTCTCTACTTAAATCCAATTCCTTCTGTTCTAGCTCCTCTGTGTGTCCCTCCTAGGGATCAGAAGGCTCTCTAGCTCTCACTCTGATAAGCTCTCATTTTTAAAACGTCTCTGTAGTGCCTACCAGAACCAGTGAGCCAAGATCTTTGGCAAGTGTACAGCTGCTCAGAGCCTCAAGCTTTACCTCTGTAAAATGGGTTCAGCACATTGTCAAGAGATCAAATGAGCAGATATGTATATATATGCTATCTATATGTTATATAATATACAAACTATGATAGAATAATATACAATGATTAATTAATAATATATAAGCTATACATAGCTTGGAACAATGTCTGTTTAGAAAGCACTGAAATGTTTGCTATCATTAGTACATTCTCTCTTTTTTGCTTTCATTGCTTGTTGATACCAGTGTGCACACCATGTAGAAGACTTTTTTGGATGGAGTCTGCTGAGAAAGTAACCTCTCCTTCCGAGAAAGAATGTATTGTACCTCAGTAAGTCTTAACCTGAAAACACACAAAAAAGAGTAAATTATTCCCATTATAGTGGACCTGACTAAAGCAGAGTTTGGGGCCTTGGACACCACCTCCAACTTGGGAAGCCAACTGTCTAGAGGCTCCACCTGAAATCTGGGAGCTTAAAACAAAGCGAGGCCTGGCTGACAGAGACCTCTCAGCTCCTTGCTTATGACCACCCTTACCATGAGTGCCTGACCTCCTGACAGCCTCA